TTGAAGCTATAAAGAGGCCCAACAATGACCAAGTAAATACATTTGTCTACCTATGCTTCCACAGCCTATTTGTTAGTGAAAATGCATGTTGGCGACCTGTGGAACTGCGCTTACAGTTTCAGGACCAAACGCGTTCAATTACTAACCAGTTTGGACAAGGTATCGGGGGATGAAACAACAGACAGTTAGCATCAAGTTATTGCATAGCGGGGCTTGAAAGTGTTCTAAATATCATCTTGGCCGACTACGAGGAATAATCCGCGAGTACCATCCAGCGAAGGTAGATTTAGACACAAGAGTATGACTAAACATGTGTTTCAGTCAACGGACCACCAGGCGACGGGGCTCCGATAGTACGCCGAAGACGAACAAAGAGCAAACCATAGAAGGCCATTTTCTATGACGGTTACCGTAGGCATTTCAAAACCAATACATCCATGCTGAAGCATAGCCATCACAACTTGTCCCGTTCTTAGAGCGACGAAATATATATCAACAAATTTGTTGGGGTTGGACAAATCTTCATCATCACCACTCAAAACGGCTCACGATAGAACAATTGAACTGGTTGCTGGGCTCTAACTGTCCATGAGGCATTAACAGTCCATCAGAATAGTCCTCAACCGTCAAACAGCCGATAATATACTTCACCGAACTCATGTTGCTTAAAGAGCTGGCCACATTGATCGAAAACTTCTCATCGACTCTCGACTGCATGAGAGCCTAGTGAACGTGAGGTGTGATCAACGGACCACCAGGCGACGGGGCTCCGATAGTACGCCGAAGACGAACAAAGAGCAAACCATAGAAGGCCATTTTCTATGACGGTTACCGTAGGCATTTCAATCAAAACCAATCCATGCTGAAGCATAGCCATCACAACTTGTCCCGTTCTTAGAGCGACGAAATATATATCAACAAATTTGTTGGGGTTGGACAAATCTTCATCATCACCACTCAAAACGGCTCACGGTAGAACAATTGAACTGGTTGCTGGGCTCTAACTGTCCATGAGGCATTAACAGTCCATCAGAATAGTCCTCAACCGTCAAACAGCCGATAATATACTTCACCGAACTCATGTTGCTTAAAGAGCTGGCCACATTGATCGAAAACTTCTCATCGACTCTCGACTGCATGAGAGCATAGTGAACGTCAGGTGTGAGGCTTACCGCGCGAGTTTAATGATTAATCCAACGTGAAATTCCACCACTGGGACGACCACTCACCCGATATGATCATTATGATCATCTTGTAAGCTAAAGTTACTTCACTGTTTTCTAGAGTCCAGATTCCCTAGAATCTCTGACGAAATTGACCTGCATATCCACAGAATCGCAAGGGGAAGAGGTTGCGCTTTCATCCATCGACATACGTTACATTCTCATGCTCCATTCTTTGGTGGCCATAGCGATCATTCCCTAGGTCACATCGTCATATCGCCAGACACTTAGGAACGACATTTCCTAGAAAAAGCATCGGCGACTTCTGGCTTACAGTGACGTGGTATCGCAGAGGTGCACCTGATTTTACAGTCATTTGATTAAAGCATTCTTATTGTTTGAGAATCCGTATTGGTCCCAAGGAGGA